CTCAGAAAAAGGTAATAAAGTAATAAGGTAAAAGGGGAAGGTAGGAAGACCCAAGACACTATTGAAAGCTACCTCATTCTCGTAGAAAATAATCTTTAGATTCTCATAGAAAATAATCTTTAGAAGTCTCTGAATTTTTACTGGACCCAACACGAGCTGGGCATTCTTGCTAAACAAAACAAAATCTATATATACATGACATGCTTCAAAGTTGGGTCACAACTCACTTGCTAATTTGGTACCCTTATAGATTTGCTTGGAACAGGTGGCCTGTGTAACCTGAAGGTATTTTTCTCCTGTGGGCCAAACCAAGCATATACAAACCCACCCCCCCAGCAAAAAAAAATCCCAAGATGAAGATAGGATGCCTTACGATTTCACAGAAACAGTAATTACTTTATTCCACCACAAAGGAATAAAAGTTTTCTTTTTCACAGCACTGTGAAAGATGCCTCCTAAAGGCTTTTCGGTTCTGGTACTTGTGCCAAAATTCCATTCCGACTAGATTCCCCATTTATGCCTGTAAAAATACTTTGCCCTTCATTTTCCCCAATCTGATCTATGGAAGGAGCGCTTCCAGAGCAGGTGCAAACAGCTTTTTAAATAACACCCACTTTTGACCTGCTTGCAATAGAATTAAAAAAGGGTAGTGGTTATAAATAATTTGCAACGATAATTAAGTCAATAAGTCATTTCACCAGCTATAGATGCAATCTTCAATTTTTATCCTGTACAACTTTGCAGTCATCTTTTAGAGTTCAACCACCCTTAAGTTGCAAAAGATGGGTGATCAGGGTGTGGACATCTGCGCTCTCCTGTAAATGAGGTGCTAGTTAAGATCTCCAAGCAAATTTATTGGTAATTTTCTGTTATGACTGTCCATTTTCTCCTGAAGAGAACTTTTCTCAGATGTACTTTCTTTCACTGATCATTAAACAGCATCCAAAGCACTCACTTCTCTACTTGAAATGACTTCCAGTGTTAACATTTGGCTCAAGATGATGGAGGTCATCCAACTGTTAATAAAAACACTTGCATCTATCGGGTTTCATTAATACAGAATGAATAAGCACCAACCGATACATACCATCATGCACAAAATACAATCCCTTAGAGGCACACAATATACCGTACATTTTCTACCAACATTTCTACCTTAAAAAGCTTTACTCAATCCAATCTTACCATGCATTCTTCAGAAGCTACTTTAGACATTAGCACTTAGGTGAACCTGTCAAACAGAGGGTGTGTTATACAACTTCGAACTGTAGTCTTGGAAAACCTGTTTTATCTAAAAAAAAATTGGTATGCTAGAAAACCATTTTCAGGGAAAATGGACAAGGCAACCAATGAATCTTCTGAGCAGAATGGTATCTCTGCCTTTAGTTCCATTTCACCAATCATTTTAGCCTCAAAATATGCAGCCACACAACAGGGATACACAAACTACCACCAACCACTTCCTTTGATAGTCATAAGCTTCTTCGCAACATTTAAACTTACCACTTGTTAAAGTACTGTCAGTGTTATTAATTAGCCAAATGAAGCAATTTGACTGTGGATTCATATACCCAAGCTGTGAAAGCAGGAATCCAATACAACATTTCCAAAGTCCATGGAAAAATAGAATCTCCCCACTTTCTAAAATCCTTATATACAGTGCTCCCAATGCAAAATTTCTTAAATCTGACAAAATTATGAGCAAATGTTAAGACCCAAGTGAAACTAGATCATTTTTAGACTCTCAAACCGAGCAATGTCATTTCTTCAAACTAGAGATTCTTTAGTTCCTATTGTACATTCTAAGCAAGAACTCCAAAATTCCTGAAAAGTGCCACTTTGACTAATCCCAACGATAAGACAATTCATTTTGCATTGATAATTCCATTCTAACCACTAGGGTATTACTAGATATACTCTCAAAAGCTTAAACATTTCACGTCTTTTACAGTGTAAACTTGATTATCTAGCCTATTTGGATCCACTAAGCATTTATTTACATGCTATTTTTCAAACTATAAAGCTTTGGGTTGCCATAAAAGTGAATCATGTACACCCAAAAGGCCTAGAATTTGTTTAGCTACCCTGTTTTCCCAAAAGTAAGACATCCCCCGAAAATGAGGCCTGTTTTGCCTCTTGCTGAAATATAAAGCATACCCCCAAAAATAAGGGTTTGGAATGTTATGTTCCAGAGGATGACATGACTGTCATTGAATAAATGTACCATAGATTGTTGTACATGGAAATAATGGTAGTAACAAGAAATTCTCGCTACTGTAGGATTCAGTTTGTCTGGTTATGCTGGTTTGTGATGACAACTACCCTGTTTTCCTGAAAGTAAGACATCCCCTGAAAACAAGGCCCCCCGAAGCTACTCTGGACTGTAGCAGCGGGGCACCACTGCGCAGCTCACTGTTGGCCACAGCGCAGGCGGAGCAGACAGGAAGTGCGAGGTCTCTTAAATGTGTATGGTATTCTTAATGGAAAAATAAGACATCCCTGAAAATAAGGCCTAGCGCATCTTTGGGAGCAAAAATTAATGTAAGACACTCTTATTTTCGGGGAAATGGTACTATACCATACCATATACAGGTAATAAATTGCCTTTTTTGTTGTTCAACAATAAATGTGTACCGTATTCTTCTTCGTGGAGAAATGAAAACATCCCCTGAAAATAAGACACAGCACACCTTAGGGAATAAAAATTAATATGAGATAGTCTTGAGGACCCAATGCCAGGGGCTTAAGTGGAGAGGAAATGTTTTGAGAATGATGAGGGCAATGAATACACAAATGCGCTTTACACAATTGATGTATGTATGGAGTGTGATAATTATATGAGCCCCTAATAAAATGATTAAATAAAAAAAAAGGACACGGTCTTATTTTCGGGGAAACAGGATATGTATGTACCTAGCACTCTTTCCTTTAAACTCAATACAAACTAGGTTCTAGCAGCTTCATAGTTTTTTCTACCTAGTGCTCTTACAAGATTTAAAAAATCCAATGTACAAGAGACTTTGTATGTACCCACCAGGCCCCACCGTTCAAAGCACTAACATTCTTTTGGGTGCAACCATCTCATTAGAAAAATAAATCAGAATAAAATATTAAATGTTCCCTCTACAAACCCATACCAAAAGTAAGCCCGAAGTATATTTAAAACCCTGGAGATCATGTGTCCTGCTTAGCAAATTGCTAAGACAGGCATAGTACCTACTGACAATTTTAAATTCAGCAGGGTTCAAAACAGTATTTTACCTACTAAATATATTCTCAATCACTCTAAATGCAAGCTAAAATCCCTTAATCTATACTTCAGCTGATACTTCTATTTATTGAGATGTCAAGTTCATGACAATATTCTAGAGCCACCTATTAATTGCATATTAGGATGTGTCCACTAAGGGATTTTCTAATATGCCTATTCTCAGTAAAAAGTGGCACAGTGATTAATCTCCAATCAAATTGTGGTTTGTTAAGAGACAGTAAACTGTCAGTCCATAAAGTTGATGTGATCAATTAAGAATGTAACACTTCTAACTGTAATGTCATTAAGGTTATCTTTCTCAAATGTGATTTAGCCACATGGCTTAACAAATAACACACATTTAAAAGGGCTCCTACTATTTGATTGTTTTTTTATAGCTTCTAAAAAGTGAGCATGAAAATAAATTCTTTATTTTCAGTTATTACCCACCAATAAGAAAGTTAGGTTCACAGTTTTAGCTCTTGACAAAGTGAATGAGGCAAATTTCTATCCATTAGATACAACTAATGGAGCAACTTTTAAAAGTTCAAGCTATCTTGAAAGCTTCCAACATACCAGATATTTTGTATTCTCTTCACAAACTGCCAGCAATGATTGACAGTGAGTGGACCTTTAAAGAATTTTCTACTTAATGTTTTCTAAAATATTGCTAGAAATCAAGTGATTTATAGCTAATGCCATACATGTTCAGAAATGAGTTAGATACTTAAATCTAAACACACTGGTTTAGGAGTATGTATGCTATATTCTCAAGAGGGGGCAACAGCCCATATGGACGCAATACTTGCCCCTGGGTAATTTGTTTGTAAATATATAAAATTATATTAGACATTAGCACCAGTGCAGAACATGCCCAACATCCTAAGATCCAAAATACCAGCATGTTTTATTGGCCATTAAAAAAATAAGTGTCTTTACCCTAAAATATCAAATAAAGATGAATAAATCTAACAAAATAAATAATTCTGATATACTAAAATTTCTGTATGAAGGGGCTTCAAAAAGTTCTTGGGAAAATGTATTTAGAAGGTAATGATGTTCTCCCACAAAATTTTTGAACCCCCATGTATAAGGAAGAACCAATCAGTTAAACAGATATTTTAAAGATCTTCCCTAATTTAAAAATCAGGCACTAACCATTTTTAGATTATGAAAAAACTGAGTGGCTTAAGATCTCTGAAACAAAATTCCTTTCATGTCTATTAATAAATGTGGCAGAAAAAAGTCCTAGAAAATCTGTTTATTACTAATCAGTCTTCTCCACGTGTTTCAGTAAGTGGTGCTACTCCTATTCAAGGAATCCCTTATTAACCTGATTTCCTAATGGTGGAAGAGGAAAAAGTGTGTTAACCTTTTGTGCAACAAATATCCATCATCAATTGAAAATCAGAATAGCAACATAGAAAATTCAGAAACGGTAGGATTTTTTGGTTTATATTTCATGGATAATGCTGCTGTTCCAAGCTTATAAAGCTGTCTGCTTTCCGAGTTCTAAATATTAAAATACTCCTCTCCCTCTCACCATACTAACCAGTACCCTTTGGTTTCATTAGAATAAGCAAGGGTTAAAGGGTTGTTTATAGAAGTAAAATTCTGATTTGGGAATCTTTCAAATATACAAATCATACCTAAGGGCCATAAACTATTTTACAGGAATAGCTTAAATATTATGACTTAGCCATTCTACTCATTGATGGAGGGTGAAAAAAATCCACAAGCATGTAACCACTTCACTCGATAGGATTTATCCCTCAACAATAAACATACACAATTTTAATCAAGTGTATCTAATTTAGTTTTCAAAATGGGAAGTCATATCGTTGAACTGTAAATCAAGTCTAATTTGAACCTAATGAACCATGCATCACCATAGGAGCAAAGGTTAATAAACCAATGTGCTTTGAATTTGTTCAAGTACTGATATTTTTGTATATAAAGATTTAGCATATATAACAGCTATCATGAGAACTGAAAAAAAGGTTTTCCCCCAAATGAAAATATTAAAACTAAGTTAAAATACATAAAGTAGTTAGTATTCCACACAGCATAAAATTGGACAAATCAATTTTACATGTCCCAGCTGACCATGTGTGAAAATGCAAAGCAGGTAGTAAGACCAATATTATGTCCACTATTTAAAACCACTTTGTAATTGGGGCAACAGCTAAATCCTTAATTAAAAAACACAAATGAAGTGAAAGCTTTAAACTGGTACACACTGTTCACACCTATATTTCAAGTTTGGAAATGCATATTTGCAAGCAGCAATACAAAAGTATTCATGAAGAATGCATAATCTCTGAAAATTATGAAAACATCCCTGCTACCAATACATTTCTAAATACAAAACTGACTACCATATTTGTTACTTCTGTGTAGCGAGAGAAGTTCATTTTCAAAACAGATAAAATTCAGTCTTTAGGTGTGAATGGTATGAATGACAGTCTTTTTTTTTTTTTTTAAATTTCTTAGTCGTTTGGGATCCTTAAGCATGCAAAGCCTCGGAGAGGAGGGTCCACGGAGGAACCAGGGCTGTCTTATGGCATATCCAGTTAAGCCAGAGCTGGGAATGCCTCTGGGTCATCTACATCAGGAGCAGAAGCACTTGACTGAAAGAGAAACAAATCAAAATTAACCACAATGCTCAGATCTTAATACTGAATTGCCAATGTCTATAACAAAGACAGAGAACTTTAAAAGTGACCACTAAGTAAAATATGTCAAGCTCTTATATGGCAAAATTATTGATCCAAATAGACTATGAGTATCTGCAATGAGCTTTATCCCAAATTTTAAGCTCCATCAGTGCTTCCTACTAACTGCCAATGCAAGTTTTAAAAATAGATCACATAGTAGACTCTATGGAATAGGCATATTGTTTCCTTACTTTGCCTATCAATTTTCAAATAGACTAAAAATCCACTTGCCGTTATTTAAGTAGTGTATTCAACAATGGTAGAACCAACTGCTAAGTTTACCCCACAAAGTACAAGCAATAAGGTATCATAAAAATCTATAATACTAAGTTATCATTATAAAGTCAAATAGTGGCTTAATCAATCATCAGTTTTCTAACTTTGCAGACTGAGAATTCAGAAGGGCATTATGATTTTTTCCCAGTTAGACCAAAAGAGGCAATGACGTTAACACAAAGGCTACCGTTTGTATTTAAGTTTAATGGCTTATCATCATTAAAAAGCATGGAGGAGCGTGGCGCCAGAAAACCCGAGTTCAAGTTTATTCATTAGAAGGACCTCTGCATCAAGAATTCATCAGGGACTTATTTTGTCCGACTCTGAATGGCACCGGAGTGGGAAGAAGGCTGTAATGAATGCCAGCTCTAAAAGTGTAGTCCAGTAAGAAATCAAGAGCATGTGTGTGTGACCACAATCACCTAGTGCGCGCCACAAGAGGAAAAATCGTTAAACGATCTCAAAAAAGTTAGGAACTATGAAATTATCGAAGTAAAGGGAAAAGGCTGGTATTCAAGATAGTTTTCTCTTCTGTAAAAGGGGACGTCATAACATTCTCATTGCCACCCAGTCACCGCCAATGCAGAGTAGTTCTGAGCACTTACTCAATACCTGGTTGCATTTTGCTCCAAGCAAACAGATGGCCCAAATGTAGATTCTTGGAGGCTACTGTTTTCTCTTTTTAAAATCATTTTACTGGGGGCTCGTACAACTCTTATCACAATCCATCCATCCATCCATTGTGTCAAGCACATTTGTACATTTGTTGCCCTCATCCTTCTTAAACATTTCCTTCCTACTTGGGAGGCTACTGTTTTCTCATTCTTCCTTCTTATATTAAAGCATACAGCAAGCACTTTACCAAAAGAAGTATGTCAATTTAAAGGGAGGAAAAAAAGTTGCGAAATTACCTTGTCAGTCCTGCTGCCACGATTGGGACGCCCACCACGCCCACGTCCACCTCTTCCTCCCCTGCCACCACGTCCTGGGCGGCCAAGGTCTCCAAAATTAATCTCCAGCTGAGATGTTATATCATTTGCTGGCTTCCGGAAATGATGGTCCATAACAGAATCTTCAGCATGAGCCTAAAAATGGAAGTGAAAAAAAAAAAAAAAAGTAACTTTCTCCTAGAAAGGCTAAAAATTCTACTTCTACTTTATGAGGATGAACATCAGTAGTCTCTGGGTGGTACAAGTGGTACAGTGCTAACACTAACGAAAGCTTAGTGGTTTAAATCTATCCAAAGGTGCCACACAATAGGCCGGATTCTGAAAGGTTTATCTTAGAACCCCACCCCACAGCAGTTCAACGCTTGAGTAATCAGCAACAATCCATATTATTCAAATTCAACACTAAATATTCTTTGGTGGCAATGCCTTTAAATATTCTAATTGAAGGACAACAGAGTTAAGGTTCTTCTAAAAATTTTTAATATTAAAGGCACTTAGAAAAGTTAATATAAACAAATCCACAAGACAGCAAATTATAAATATCACTATATATATAACAATTGCCAAATTTTAGATTACTTGCCATTTCAAAACATTACTAAATTCAGTGGACCCCTTAGTAGTGTGCTTACTGCAAAGTCAGCGGATTGAAACCATCAGCCGCTCCCCGGAAAATGTGGTTTTTAACTCCAGTAAGGTGTTAGTGTCTTGGAAACCCACAAGTGGTGGGCTGTTGTTCTACTGTCCCTATAAGGTTGCTATGAGTTGGAACTGACTTGATTGCCAGAGTTTAGTTTTATCAATTCACTAACTAGGTTTCTAGGGCATAGAAGCAACAACAATAAAAAGCACAAATTAACACTCAACTAAGTTTTACAATAGTAAGCAGACGTTTGTGTGTGGCGCCTACATATATGCTTGACCATCAACAAATGGGTCGGCACTTAAATCCCACCCACCAGGGGTAGTTTCAGGCCTGGTAATCCATCCTGAAGCAATTGCAAGTATAAATTAACAACACCCCCCCTGCCCCTGCTGCCCAGTGAATGATATTCAAGAGACAATGCTTGTTTGCTCTTTCACAACTCAGTTCTACATTAAAAAAACAAAACAAACCAAAAACTTACTGGAGGCTCTTAAATCTCTTATCACAATCCATACATTCATCCAGTGTGTCAAGCACCTTTACACATAAGCAGCCAACGTAATTTTCAAAGGATTCTCCTCCCACTTGGGCCCCTGATAACAGCTCCCCAATTTTTTCCCCTCCCGCCCAGCTCTACATTTCCAAAAAGTTAACTTTTCTCTACCTCAGACTGGGGGGCTTCAAAAAGTTCACGGAAACATTCCACTATCCCAGAAGCTTTCGGAAGCCCCGTCGTATTTGTTAAGGATGTAAATGAAAGAGTGCTTCAAGAGTTGTACACAACTTTTTACATCTTTAAGATCTTATGCCAATTGGGCCAATTTCAATTGCGAAAATCACTTGATATAAATCTGTTCATAACCATTTTCACCTTCTGTAATTTTTCAAAGTTTCTACTAATAGGTATTGCTTTGTGTAGTTATTTCTGAGTAGCTGGTTTTAAAACTGAGCATCTGCCCTGAAACGATGTTTGAGATTATTATTAATCGCCTATTATAACCAGAATTTTGTGTGCAGTTTGTGCAAGGAAAAGAGCCCACAGGCATGACTTGTCAAAAGTCAAAGAATATTCCTAAAGAAGTTGTAGGTGCATCATTATACCAACTTAGACAATTTAATCATCAGTTCAAACTGATCCATAATCCCTAAAAGAAATTTTAAGACTATCTTTTACCCTGATACATTGACAAATTTATGGGGCAGGTACAAAAAAACAACAAAGTAAGATAGCTTTCCTCGGACCACTTACAGGACTTGACTTCCCCTACCATTAGTCCATGACTTCCAATTCTTTATCTTCCCTTCTATTTTCTGCTGCTGTTGAGAATGTATGTAAAGCATTAACCAAGTTGCTAGATGTGCAGTTCATGACAGGGATTCAACTTAGTTGTGTATTTACCATCATTTGCGTGGCCCCGCCCGCATTAACATAAGCTCACCACCTTTTCAATGCTCTTCTTTGATTTCCTTGAGTTGTTGTTATTTGACCCAGATAGTTCTTTAATGCTGAAAGCAGATCTTTTCTTACTAGTTAAAAGTATTGCTGGGCTTTAAGAAATTTCAGAGGTTATTTCTGGTTTAAAGCTTATAGCAGGGCAGTACTTTCAGGTATCCTTTTAGTCTCCACAGCCTGAGAGTCTAGAATCTAAGAGATTTTGAAATTTGGTTCACCATCTCCCCCATTTTGGTCAGAATTCTTGTGGAATTTTTAAAATAAAAATGTCCAGTATTAGCAGCTGGGCACCATTGAGTTTTTTTGCTTTTTATGGTAATACGGCAAAGGGAGGTGTTCATGTAAACAATTAACCATGTACATTCCAGTGTTTTCCAGCTCCTGACTCCTCCTCCCTCCTCGGTTGCTCCATGTGAATCAGCCAATTATCCTATTTTGGAAGGCTCCTTTCAAGCTTTGGAGACCTCTGACACTATACAACTAGTTAGTAAACAGAAGCACTAAGGGATATTCCAGGACACCATTAACCTAAACCAATAAACAAAGGATCTAAACCTGTAAGGTGTTTGGTTGTACCCAAGCAGCCTCAGCAGCTCCCTTACTAATTCTTTATGCTTTTACATAAAAACCTATGTGGTTGAAACAAAGCGATGCACATCAATAGAACAAATAGCGACACTGTGACCAAGTATTAAGTTTATAATCATGACTCATCACCACACTAGGCCATTTGAATAGCTTAAAATACTTTAAAGGGATTCCTAGAGATGGTCTGAAAGATCATATAGATGACAGCATTTATTCTTCCTCCTAACCTTTGGAGTATGTTTGAATATTGAGTACTCAGATTTCATGAGACCATTTTATCATTTACAGATCTTAATTCAAATGCTATTAGTTTATCCTGTTCCGTATTCAAAATAACAGGCCTACACTCATTTCTTTTCTAACCTTAGGAAACATCTTTTCAATGTTATTAAAAAATGCTCCCATGTCTATCTAATATCCATTTCTTAATAATAAAAGAAAAATATAATAAAAGAACCCATTAATCCTTTAAATTATAGGATATCTTCATAGCATTTCAATTTGACTTTTTAAAAGGAATGATAGGATTTGCATTATGGATTTCTGACCAACCTTGATTTAGAGGATATAAAAACTCATTTTGACATTTGATCTAAAACTAAGATATTCCTTTAAAAATGTACCCAAGACTAAGCAGGAGTCAACATATCAAAAGCCCCGGTGATTTTCATTAATTTCCATGTCGCCCAAAGTAAAGAAAATCTGGATTTTTGTAAGACTATTTTTTTCAGTAAAGGTGGCAGGCTACCATTTACTGAGCCTAACTATTACATGTGGAATAATACACCAATAGCTTCAAAGACAAGTACTAAATGAAGCTACTGAAGACTTTTTGGTTATGCCAGATGAAAACGCCAACCTAAAAAGTAAAGCCTGTCAGAACTTCAGGGAACTACCTTTTCTGGATCTTGCAATTTTCCCAACTTTGATAGCTTGCAATCTAACCACTTTCTATCTCATTTTAGTGGAAAATATTTGAGTTTTCCCTTTCTAACAGGTTTCCATCATACAAATTCCTGCTTTTGTAAGTTTTACTTCCCTATTTTCAAAAGAGCAACAAATTGTATGATGGCAAATAGCTTTTCAAGAGGAGACATTACCATAGATGTATTAATGGATTAAAGGACTAGAGTAAGTACTGTAGTTCAGGTTTAGTGAACTGCCCCCAATGATCCCATGTATAGTGTTTTTCTCTTCTCAGAAATATATCCATCTGGAACATTTTAAATAAAAACCAAGCATTATTTACAGCACACCTAATTATTTTAAATCCCCACAAACTAAATTTTACCTCTTCACTTTTTGACTTATGAAGAACAAATCCCTTCTTCCACTGCCCATCAGCACCTTCATTTGGTTTTCGGATATTAAATTCTACTTTTGCCCGGTCCTTATTCTGAATAGCCTTCCACTCATCCAATGTCATCTCTTTTGGACCCTCTTCCTTTACCTCTTCAACTTCATTCTCCCTGTGAAGAGAAATTTAATTTTATATGTGATGTAATGTACATAAATATATTTCAAAACTAATGATTGTTTAAAAAGTTCATCTTGGTTGGCTAAAGACTCAAGTTCACACAGGTGGGAGAGGTAAGTTTTCTTTAGAACTGAACTGTTAAGGCACAGAATCTTCAATTTTATCTTTATAAACTTTTATATGAGCAGTCAATGTCTTAAACTGGTCTTACCAAAGGTAAAATACACATTTCTTAAACACTACTATTATTTTAAAACTATGCTCGCCTTTATTAAAATCCTTAGCCTACTTTCTCATAATACATAACCTGTTAAAACACACGCAATAGAAATCAACTAGGATGCCTGTAAGTAACCAGGCTGTATACTTTTGAATGTAAATGAATGGTTTCCTCTATCCTTGATTCTAGCACATAACATAAACTTAAGTCAAATTCCTACAAAGTCTAAATTCCAATTCAACCTCCAAACCAGTCTATCCATTGCAGAAGCTAAAGCCTTCATCAGTGATGGGCTTCTCTACAAACCACATTTGGTTTCCATACTTAAATATTATTTCCAAATACAATTTTCAGCTTATACATATTTTACATCTCCCTCTTTAAGAAAAACAAAGCACGGACCTAGAAACCAATTACAGTCTTATCTCAATTTTCAATTGTCACCAAAGCAAGTTGTTTTCTATTTTAGGAGCTGCTGCTTTTCCAAAGATAGCAGGTGATTCAGTAAGCCTTACAGCTCAAATATCTTCGTTTGATGCTGCCATTTACTGTCTGACAAGCCCTATCATAAAGTCTCTGAGAGCAACTTTACATTGAAGTTGCAGGCTCTTTCTTGGCTACCAAGTTTAATTTTGTCAGTTTTAACACTGAAAAGAACCCTTTCGCGATCTCTGGTACACAGAAGAATCACCTATATTTCCCACCCTGGGGTTTACGGGGGAAGCAATCTCACTTTTAATGTGCACTGTTACCTGAGAGGGTCCCACATAACTGCATGAATCGGAAAGAAAGAGCCACTTCCCACCTACCACAGAAGCAGAGAAACCTCCTGGGACACGTGTCCCACCAATTACAAACAAAAAACAAGCCAGAAAATTTCATTCTTCCAAGTACTAAATAACACACCTAGTTATTTATAATTTTTGATATGAAAAAAAAAAACACCTCAGCATATCCTTTTAACTAGTCATTACACTACACTTTAAGGGCTGTTGGATCAAATTAGAGCCAAAAATAAAGTAGCTAATTTAAGTTCACCAAAGCTGTTTCTTAAATTTATGTTTCCACATCAAAGATGCCATTCTAGACTTTAGATTTACCCCCGCTCTGGGGCCACATCAGACCAGAAACTAAATCTACTGCCTGCCACCTACCAGGTGATCTCAGCTAAGCTCTGTGAAGTCGACCCACTCACCCAACCACTCACATAACTCATAAAGGTTGCCTGTAGAATTAAGTAAACCTACAAAGAGGTTTTGAAAGTTTGTAGAATTATTCTTTTTCCATAAACGTCTTGAAGATCCCCTAGTATTTGACGGAACTTGGTTTTGTATCTGTGTAAGCGAATAATTTCAAATCACCAGTAGATATAGGAATAGAATTAACTACATGGCTATAATTATTTTAGTGTCGTGCGGAAGTGCCCAAACTCACTAGACCCACTTCTGTAAGAAAAAACTCCACCAGTCTGCTGCCACCCCCCATTAAAACCTTTTGTGCCACGGCCCATAATCCACGATAAAATGTAGGCATCTGTTTTTGCAGCCCCCTGGGGTTGTTATCGCACTGCCCAGAGGTTATCACCCACCTTGGGGAACACTTTCGAATGGACAATAACCCCGCATTTTTATTTTCAAATTTTATTGGTGACCAAAAATATGCCAAGGATGAGTGGCCTAACTCCATCATTAAAAAGAATGCACTGATAAGTGGCCCTGTGGGTTAGGTAGGTTGTTAGCCACAGGTCAGCAATTCAAACCTACCAATCACTCTGCAGGAAAAAGGTGAGGCCATTGCCCCTCAGAAATGTAGTCTCGGAAACCCTAAGTTAGAATTAACTTTCTATGGCACCGGGTTCTTTTTCTTTTTTAAAAACCAACCTAGTCACTCTAATGTGATCCTTATCTTTTTTAGACCAAGTATCCTGAATTTCATTCCTGTGACATCAGCTATGGGTTTGTTTCCAATACCCTATTAACATACTTCCTTCTGGTAAACAGCTATTAAGTTTTTGCAGAAAGCTTTGAAGATTACTCAGTCCTGGTTGCAAACTAGTCCTAAATAACCTGTGATACAAATTTAAACCATAATCAGCTTGGTTGATGGAAACTAAACCCACTTACCCTGTCACTGGTGCAGCATCTCACTCATAGTGACCCTGTAGTTTCTTAAGCTGTAGATTTTTAGGGCAGCAGACAGCCTCTTCTTTCTCCCAAGAGTGACAGGTAAGTTTGAACGGCCAGCTCTGTGGCTAGCAGTCCAACCCTTACCCGAGGACTCTACCAGGGCTTCTCAACAGAAACTAGAGGTACCAAATCATCTCTATGAACATAACTGGATATTTTTTAAATCCTCACATGAAAGAAGATGGGAGGAACCAAATTTTGAAATGGTCATATGTACTACCACTTAACTGTTACCAGAATAAACCTTAGAATCAAAAGTAGAGCAATGAGTGTTAAATACTACCGGTAACTTTAAAACATAAAACACAATTTGTTGCTTGGTGCTATCAAGTCCTCTCAGATTTATAGCAACAAAACACAACAATTCCTGGTCCCATGCCATCCTCAAAACTGTTCTTATGTTTGAGCCAATTTTTGCAACCACCCTACTAATCCATCTCATCTAGTCTTCTATTTTTTTGCTACTACTCCACTTTACCAAACATGACATCCTTCTCCAGGGTCTAGTCTGTCCTGGTAACACTAATTTTCAGAAGCTCCTAAATCCAGCATCCAGTGAGCCGTGGGAGCATCGCAGGTTCACAATGGGCTGCAAATCCCAAGGCCAGCAGTTTGAAACCACCAGCTGCTTTCTCAGGAAAGAGATGAGACTTTCTACTCCTGTAGCACTGAAGTCTCAGAAACACTTGGCGACAACTATATCCTGGTCTTATAGGGTTGCTAAGAGTTAGATCTGACTCCCTAACAAGTTTTTGGAAACCCAGCATCCAGTTACCATGTGCTCAATGGCAAAACAACCATCATCAGAATCTCCCATTTACTGAGCAAGGTAGTTGGAGCTAATAACTGATTCCCAGCCTTCATTCTCACTTGACATTTGCAAGGTATTTTTTGTGCTTAGGGTCAGCAGGTTTTACTAAGATATATAAATATGTCTTAGCAATTAACAAACTAACAGTATACTCTCCAGCACATGTATGACAATGGAAAAATAATGAAGTTAAAAGTAACCATACTAAAAACATTCCTTTTTTCAACACTAGACAAACATAAATGCAAAGCATCAAGCTAGGTAATTGAAGCACAGGGGTACATAAAGTAGTGTCAGAATCTCTCGTTAGAAAACCAAGCAAACAATAGCATTAAAAACAAGGGATTATATGCTATTATTGCATTAGTAGAAATTTAAACTGGTTCCAATGCTGGCCCATTAAGCATTATTACTTATAAAGCCACTTACTTATTCTCGGTGTCAGCCACGGGATGTTCTTCACCTTCAGGTGTTTCCTCAGTCACATTTGATTGATCCAAGTCACTGCAATTATAAGACATTGGTTTCTGAATGTATTTGGGGCAATCTCTAAGGAAAGAAAGAAAAAAGCATCTAGGTCCATTTACATGTAGTGGAAGGGTTTTTTAAAATGCAAAATGATTAAAATCCCCCAAGCTCTCCAAATAGGTCTTTTCTACTATATTAGCGGTTCTCAACCTGGGGTCTGTGACCTCTTTGGGGGGTCAAACGACCCTTTCACAGGGGTTGTCCGATTCATAACAGTAGCAAAATTACAGTTATGAAGTAGCAACAAAAATAATTTTATGGTGAGGGGGTCATCATAACATGAGGAACTGTAATAAAGGGACATGGCATTAGGAAGGTTGAGAACCACTCTATTATATTTACTCTCCACCAGGCCACTTAATAGAATAGTATAAAAAAGTATACTTGTTAAGTTGGTTTGTGTACTTTATTAAAAATAGGATGCTGGTTCTAAGTCAAAGCTTTGGTAGCTTATAAAATTTTGTAATGATTGAAAAGACAGAAGCTAGAAAAGAAGCAATAAAAGACTTGGATAATCAGAAGACCCAATTAACGCCAATTTAAGGTTTCAGGAAAAGCTATATATCTATATATTACATACGTGTGTGAGCACACACTGGTCATTTAATAAAGTACAACCTAAACATATCCAATAAAATATTATCTTGATTATAAATGGCTGAGATAATAGCACCCATTCTTATTCTTGCCCAGGAACAGACAAAAATACAAGTATGAATGTATCCCTAGCTAGGTATTCAATTAATTAATAGAACATTTAAAAAATAATACCAACGTTAATTCATCTTTGACAGTTCCCCAGTTGTGAGATCCGCTACCTCCACGCTTGTCTTCATGCTTCAGGCCACTATAATGTGAAAAAGAACTAAAAAAACTGAGTTAACATAATACTCTTTAGTTATAGACATTCAAATTTTGTTCAACAGATTAAAATATAAGAATGAAATGAAACCCATCAAAGACTTACGATCTATCACTTCCACTATGCCTATCAAATTCACGTTTGCCACGAGAATCAAAGCCGTCTCCTCTTCCCATTCCACGTCCACGGCCTCCTCTCCCTCTTCCAAGACCACCCCGACCTCGGATAGGTCGGTCAATAATTGGCCTGCAAGAGAAAATACACATACCCAAGGTTTCCAGAAAGAAAAAAAAAAAAGGAGTGGCATGATTCAGGAGCGCAGAAATCAGACCAATAGGTTACCTGGATCGTAATCCAACAAAAGCATTTTGCAGAAATTAAAGTATGATAAATCAAAATAATTACATAGCCTGCAAACCCGTAAAAACGAAATAAACCATTTTATCAAAAACGTTACCCTAGTGCACACTATAGCCCCTTCATCATTGTATATCACAATCTAGACAAAACTGTTAGTAATGAACAAACTTTAAACACAAACCATTTGTGCAAGTGTTTGCTATAACTAAAAAGATTTTGCTTTTAAAAAAAATTCAACACATAAGCAATAGCAAGCAAGAATAACACGTGTGCGCCACTGAGTTGATTCCAACTCACAGCAACACTATAGGGTGGAGTACAACCATAGTGTCCTCCTTTAGGGTTTCCTAAGCAGAAACCTTTACAAAGCGGATTGCAGGGCTTTTCTCCCACACAGCAGGTAGGTTCCAAACGTTTTAGTTAGCGGACTGGCCCTTAACCTACTTGTGTTATCAGGGCTCCTGGTTAAAGAGTCAGTTGCCAATTCGACCGATGTGTTTCAAGAAATCTAAGTTTGAACACTAAAAGTGATTACCAAATGGTCCAAAATATAACATAAATCCAGATATTTTTCTTAAAACAAACCACCTGTTACAAGTACGCTGCTACCTGCAATTAGGTCCAACTTAAAGCTTTGTGTTAAGATCTAACACCATAAAGAAAAAACATGAAACAAAACTTACCTATCAACAGAAAATTCTCCTCCTTCACTTTTTTCTTCAAGTGGTTTTTCAAATCGTCTTTCCCGAGGTGGTCGCCTTTCTGGCCTTCTATCAATTATTTTCCCGTCACCCTGAAGTTGTTGATCAGGTCTTCTTCCAACACGCCTTATTCCTAAAATGTTAACAGCAAATGATTTTTGCAACAGAAGTTTAGATCTAAATAAATAAAACTGGTAATAAAGCACTACTTTCAGTTCACTAAGTAGTACCTATTAGAAGACAGTCAAGGTGCCTCACACCCCTAGTTAGTTGCCCAAGTCACTTTTCATCTCTTAAGTTGTCCCTGTAACAGGCTTGGAAATCATTTGGGGAGCCATTTCCCCTCACTTTCAAAGTGCTGCTCTCTCCATTAACAAATTAAATTTTTTTTGAGGAAATGCTACATTTGGTAAGACACTAGTCATTCATAAGCACCAATCAAATCAACACACCCATCAGATATGGCCCCTCAGAAACAAGTTTAAGGCCATATGATTTTATTCTTTATTATCTGAAAGAATAAAAACACAGTAGTTAGGAATTTACGATTACTTGAATAGCTACTTAAAATAGCCAATTAAAGCAGAAACTGTACCTTCATCAACTGATATATACATGTACATCTTGCTCATATGTGCAGACACACCAAACTTTTAATGCTTATATATACCCACTGAAAGATTGTTCTATTAGATTTTTGAATGGAGATCAAGGACAGCCTTTTTAGTTTCCCTTTAAACCACACTTTAAGCAGAAAACTTGTGTGATAGCTGAAGAATTTACTGATTTCCCTCAGGGTGTGAGGCCCACCAAAAGCAACCATTATGCTTTACTGACTTCCTAAGTATAAACAGATTGATGAGGTAAGTTCATCAATTTAGTCACCTGTAAGATCTCAGGCATGCTGTTAATCCCCAGACCACAATTTCTGGCAAAATCAAAACGCGGCTAAGGGGTTGGTTTTGAAATAAGATCTTAAACAGATTCACTCTGGTTCTTTCTAAGAAAGTGGAGCACCATCAGGACACACCCAACCAATTGTTAAAGTTCATTGCACAGTAACTAGAGTTAACACAGTAAATTCTCTAACCTTTTAATGAAAATTTAAAGTTCATGCCACTTAAACTTGCAGAACGGACCTCAGATGTTAGACCTTATACCACAGCATTTTAATGTTTCTTTTGAGGTGCAGCATATTGGGGTGGGGCTATGGAACCAGTCTCCATAATGATATCCAAACTGAACACACCCAACGAACAATGGCGTGCCTCCACACCCAATAGTATTAGGCTAAAACACTCTAAAATTCCCCAATGAGAAATGACTGTCACATTCGCTTGCTATACACTCCAGACTGATTTACACTAGATCCCATGCTTTAAAAACGTGAATGGGCTACATACTCTTCGGTTGTGTCCCTTCTCTAGTTCTTCAAATGGTCCAAGATCAAGTTACATAACACAAACACCTCATAACATACCGGATATCACTGTAGCAAGGCCTATCCTTCCCACAGCAAGAGGGCGGGCACTTTATTTATAGGCTTATTTCCAATGACAAATTTTCGTTTTCAACTTTTTCTACATTCATAAACTTGTGTGTTATACAACTCAAGTTTAAGAATGCTGTGAAATGTTGATCTAAGGAAAATGTTGAGTTAATCTGAAAAGAAAATCTTTCCAAGAAGAAAAGGACTATAGATAGGTGAACTTAGTTCTACTTAAAATTTGTCATTATTTTAATTCGTAACTTAAGACGAGCTTTTATAATAAAAATAACAGGCATTAAACCATGCTTCATATACTTTCATAATTCACATCGTGTGAACCACACCTACTTGGTAACATTATAGATGTTTCATACTGAAATCTTTCATGTGCTTTCTTTGGGTGAGTGTAATCAAGGAGACACTTTTGAATAAAGATTAAATAATTACTCAAATGTGTGTTCCCTAAATTAGTAATTAAATTTTATTCCATTGTGCTACAGGTGGCCATAAAACTTCACCGATTATCTAAGTGTTGTAAAATTTCCTGATAATCTGCGTTTCCCCCCAACTCATAATCCTAACAATTCTTTCCCATCTACCATCTAGTTTTTCCAGTCTCAAAAATATTTAAGCAAAATATCAAAATTTCGTAGAGTAAATACGAACGTTCTGAAGGCGTGTTAAATTGTGTTCGGCACCCCCCCCCCCCAAACGAAGGCTATTAAATCCAACTAAGGCTAATGAACATCAACTTCACTCAAGAGCACGTGGTAACCTCCCACTCTCAAGATTGCCCCTCCCCGGCTTCAAAAAATGCCTGGGAAAGGTGAATTAAAGAAAGTGGGATTTCTTCTTCGTCGTATGAAAAGAGGCAACTTACATCCCACACCTACTTTTTCTTTTTTCTTCAACGCCAATGGTTTTGCTTTCTCACACACGAAACAGAAACCGGTCAGGCGCGAGGAGGTTTATTTAAGTCGAGCACGAGCTCACCCCGTGAAAACGTACATGCCCCCGAAAGCAACTCTCACCACCCGCCAGCCCGCCAGCGAAAATCCCGAGCCCGCTTCCTGCCACACGTGGAAGCGGCTAGGGGCTCCCAGGCGGCGGCAGAGGCTCGTGTTGTGACAGCCTGGCCGCTCGGCGCGCGCCACGAGGCTCGGGCCGCGCACGCCGCGCCACACGCGCCCCTCAGTGCGGGAGCGGGGAGAACCCGCCGGCCAAGCCTCGGGAGTTCCTGCAGCCACCCGTCTCCGGAATCCCCGCCGCCCGCCGGCTCGAGGGCATCCCCAGTCCTGTCCTAGCCCCCAAATTGGAGAACGAACTCCACAAGTTACGCGATTCTAAGAAGTTCGGGGGTGGGGCGGCTGGTGGGAAGCACAGGCGGCACCCCGATCAGCCGCCTGACTGCCCGTGACCGGCTAGTCGCGAACAGACAGCCGCTGCGGGGTACAGCCGACCCCCAGCTTTACATCGTCGTGGGACAAGATGGCAGGATGGAAGGCTCAGACAGACACCGCCGCTCCAAGGAACCCGCGGGGAAAGAACTCGGCGCAGCCAGCAGCAGTCGAGCTACGGCCGGGGGGGCCCGAACCTCGGCCCGTGCGCCCGCCCGCCCGCCCGCCCGCCGCGGGATTCCGGCGGGAAGAGCGCTTCTCAGGACCCTTCCGTCCCGGACGACCACGCTCCTCCGCTCGGAACCAGAGGCGGGAAGGGGGTGGCTCCGGAGAGCCTTGCAGACAGTGGCTTGAACTTGGGACTACCCACGCGCTCTGCACTTTACAGGACCTGGCTTTTGTCGCGTGGTAGAAACGTGCGGGAAGAGGCGGCAAAATCGGTCGCGGCTCCTCAGAGCTAGGGAAGCAAGTGGCAACCCCGACTCCCCTCACTGCTCGCCTCCGTCCCCGGTCTTACCCACCTTCTACCCAAGCTTTACCTTCTTTCTTAAGCGCCATGGGCGGCTGCGTCTCCTCTTTCTTGTCAACCACGCCAGCATTGGGGGGCAGTGGGTTCTTACGATCCTTCTGGGACTCTTTACGCAGCTGCTTGCCTGCCGCGTTGGAGTTGGTCTGGGCTGCGGCCTGAGCTGCGCTCTTGGCCCCTGGGCCCCCAACGCCGCCCCCACCGGCTTCTTTTTTCTTGTTCTCTGCCGCCTTCAACACCTCGAAGGGATCCGATTCGTCGTCAAATAACTGGTCGAATCGGTTGGTGACCACGCAGCCGAAGCCTTCCTGTAAGTGCCCAGGCATGATGGTGGCTCGGCGGCGCGTTCCTCCACGGATTGCAGCGGGCCGCGCCGAGCCAAGAGCGCCTGCTTCAGCTCTTCCCACAAGATGGCCGGGCCGAGAGAGGGGGGCCGTCTTCTCTTCCGGCGCCAGGCACACATCCGGGAGCGGCCGGCGCCGCACGGCACCATGGGCTATGTAGGCCAGAGTCGCTTCTCCAGAGGCGGCTCTCGGCGACTGAACTACAATTCCCAGGATGCCTGGCGTGACAACTCTTCGCGCGCGTCTAAGAGGCGGGACCTGAAGAAGGTTTTTGAGCGTGCGAGCTGAGGGAGGGGTGAAAGCATGGTGGGGGGCGGAGTCTTGCCACCTGCTCTCACCGCCCTTAAACTCTCTAGGTCTCCAGCTACTCTGAAAACAGGAAAACGTGACGGCGTATTGTATTCGTGAAAGTGCTCAGGCTTTGGTTTTATTCACCCCGCCTCCGAGCCAAGGCTAACTTTCTCCACTTCTCTTGGAGGGTCAAGGTGACTCTCAGATCTTTCAACGGGAGACTGACAAACTTCCGGGGTAGGGGATGGGGGTGGGGGCAGAGGTGTTGCGCCAGCCTCGGGTAGGCAAGACCCCATCGGTTCCGAGGACCTAGCCGCTCGGTTGCTGGAGTCGTTCTTCGACACCCCTCATAATAAATCATGAGGCCCTACTGTTAGCTATGAGGCGGAATATTCTTCCTCTCATGGAGACGCGAACTCCGGTAGCAGAAATAATCAAAAGGACAAATTGAACCATCGCATGGGTCGGTTGCGTGCTTTTCCCAAGCCAGAAATGCCGGTGTTGCGTCAGAGCTTTGACGGTTTAGCACCGGACCCTGGGCAAGCCTCGAAATAGCACTTGAAACGTTTTCTAGAGCCAATCTAATTGTTCATTAGTATTTAGGATACAGGACCTGGTGGCTGGGCTGTAACGTCTTAGAGCATCTCTGTGCTTGGAAGTTTCGTTTGGGGAGAAACGCGTGGCAGCACGTTCTTTGACATTACTTAAAAGCAGTGATGTTCGTGGAGAATCTGAAGGTCTATTAAGCTAATTCAGCGTCAATGCATATGCAAACATTTGTTAGCGCTAAGTGTTTAAATAGCCCATAATTTTTAAATCTTTCCCCATTAACACAAAGTGAACCTCTCACTTGCCAAGTTCCATGAGTAACTTTAAGCTCCACAACTTGTAATGTTTCCCCTTTCCACAAGTAAAGCCATTTCAAAGAGGTGGAATGACTTACCAAGTTCACACCCCTGCTAAATGCCAGGGCCCAGTCACCTAACTCCTTAGGACACTGTTAACATCAACTGTTTAAACTCTGCCTTCTGATAGCACTCCCAATCATTTACTAGTTTCTAATGCTGAATAAGATTTAAACATCATTACATGTTGGCCAGGGTTGGTCCGAGTTTTGAATGCATTTTATCAATTTCCTAGTAGATTTTAATCAATTCTTTCACAAGGAAAACAGAAGACAAGAGTCTTGTTACAGGCATGTGGCAGCATGCCTTGCTTTTGAAGTCCCCAAGCCAGTCTATTTTCCTTTTCCTCGGTCCAGAACATGCACTCCCTTCTTCCATCGACTCTCCCTATTGTGGCGCCTACCAAGAGAGCAGACTAGGAGCTTTTGAACAGTCTTACCAACCCCTTGAAAATAGCTCAAGAAAAAAAATGGGAAATCTTCATGCATTATCATAGCCGTTCTTTCCCCCCAAATCAAACCAACAAAACTTTAAGCCCATTGCTGTCTAGTAGATTCCAATGTGTGCATTACAGAGTGGACTTGTTCCATAGGGTGTTTTTGCCTGCACTCTTTATGGAAGCCGATGCCAGGTCTTTTTCTTTTCTGATACCTTTACTGTTAGGTTCAGACCATCAATCGCTAGATTAACTGAGGGTAAATGCCTCTTCCAAATTCACAATAGGGTCTACATGAGTCCTGGAACGCTGATCCCACTTACTGTATTTGTCAGGCACATGACAGGGAGAACAGTATCCTTTACCTTGTAATGCTACCACATATAAAAAATGTAAGTCTGATTTCTTATAACACTGTGGTGACACGAATCAGGCACCACTCAGTTGTAAATAAGAGACTAATTTGAAGTGTACACTGAATATACATACAATACATTTTGTTTATTAAATATTTTTATTGGGGGCTTTACATCTCTTATCACAATCCATACATTCATCCAGTGTGTTAAGCACATTTGCACATATGCTGCCATCATCATTTTCAAAACATTTTCTTCCCACTTGAGCCCCTGATATCAGCTCCCCATTTCTTCCCCCTCCCTCCCCTGCCCTCCCTTCCTCACAAACACTTGATAAATTATAGATTATTATTTTCTTTTTTTTAGATTATTATTTTCATATCTTACATTGTCCTCCATCGACCCTCACCCATGTTTCCATTGTTTGTCCCCCTGGGAGAGGGTTATAGATTGTTCCTTGTGACTGACTCCCCCTTTCTCCCCCCACCCTCCCCTAATCCTCCTGGTATCTCTACTCTCATTGTTGGCCCTGAGGGGTTTATCTATCCTGGATCCCCTGTTTTGTGGACTCTTATCTGTAGCAGTGTGCATGCTCTGGTGTAATCCAGTTTGTAAGGTAGAATTGAGGTCATGATAGTGGGGGGAAAGAAGCACCAAAGAACTAGAGGAAAGTTGTGTGTTTCATCAGTGCTATACTGCACCCTGACTGGCTAATCTCTTCCCTGTGATCCTCTGTGAGGGGATGTCCAATTGTCTACAGATGGGCATAGGGTCTCCACTCCATGCCCCCCACGGCACCCCCTCCCCATTCACATTGGGTATGATTTTGTTCTGGATCTTAGATTCCTGATACCCAATCCTATCAACACCTCATGATCACACAGGCTGGTGAGTTTCTTCCATGTGGGCTTTGTTGCTTCTCAGCTAGATGGCTGCCTGTTTATCTTCAAACTTTTAAGACCCCAGACACTATATCTTTTGATAGCCGGTACCATCAGCTTTCTTCACCACATTTGCTTATGCACCCATTTTGCCGCCAGCAATCATGTCGGGAAGGTGAACATCACAGAATGTCAGATTGTTAGAACAAAGTGTTCTTGTGTTGAGGGAATGAGTTGAGGCCCAATGTCCATTTGCAACCTAAATTCTTAACATATAGGTATGAGTACATAGTTCTATTCTCTTCTCATTATATATATATATTTACATATGTACATGCCTGTTTTTAGACCTCTATAAATGTCATTTGCCTCCTGGTTCTTTCCTGTATTTCCTTTTACTTTCTTCTTGTCCCACCATTATGTTCGGCCTCCATTCAGGTTTAGTAATTCCTCGCTGCTACATTGCCTCTGATTAAGCCCCACTAGGCATCCTACACCCTTCTCTCCAATAATTTTAGTTCCCTGGTGTTCCCTTGTCCCTGGGTTGGTTCCCACCCCCTTTCCTTTCTCCCACCTTTCCTTCTCCTCGTGTCCCCACAAAACCATTTGTCCCGTTCTTTTCATCACCAAATTACTTACCCCGCCTATCTTATCTAGATAGACATGCAGAGACATTAATAAGTGCAAAAACCAGGCAAAGCCAAGCAAAACAACATAGGAAGTCAAGACCAACAAAACAACAACAACAACCAAAAGAGCCACTGACAAAAATGGAAAAGCCTATAAATAGTTCAAGGTCTGTTTCTTGGCCTTTACAAGTGTTTTCCAGTTGAGTCTGATGGGGTGCCACATTCTGTTTCCAAAGTCTATTTTTGTTATTCCCCGGGGATTTCATCACTTTGCTCCCTTGCTGCTCTGTTGCATGCCCTTAGTGTTTCGCCCCAGCACAATGGGGTCAGATTGTAAACAATTCCTGCAATGTGTCTCCAGTGTTGTCCCCGCAGCGCTATGGTTTAGTGAGGGACGTCATGTCTTGTGGTAGGGCTGGCCCTATGGTCCTCTCTATGCGTTGTCTGCTCTGAGGAGGAATATTGTCCTCGGGCTTGATGGGCCAGGATGTCCTCCCCTCCCTCTCCATCCTTTTTCATTTCTCCCATGTGCTCTAATCAGATGTGCCCTTCTCCCCAAGCTGTAGCCCCAGTGCTGTCCTCTGAAGTGCATTCTTCTGAGGGGTGGGCAGGGGGCTGTCCACATAGTTGGGATTGGGGCCAGCCCTTACAATACATTTTTAAAGTATCTTTACAACTAAGAAAGATAGTTCTTGTGAAGTAAAAAGGAACTCGGGTGGTGTTGGGCTGCTAACCACCAGGTCATTAATTCAAGCCCACTAACTGCTCTTTGGAGAAAGACAGGTTATAAGCTCCCTTAAAATATACAGTCTTGGGAACCCCATACAGGGTTATTATGAGTCAAAATCAACTTGATAGCAGTGGATTTGGTTTGGGGATTTGTGAAGAAAAGGGCAAATTCTCTATGTCCAAGGATAGAATGCTAAATATACCATTGTAAGTGTAGGATCTTGCTGTAGTTAGACTAGCAATGCTAAAAATAAAAATACTTATATCCCTATTTTGCTACCTTAAATTTACTTTCAGGATTCATACTCTCGGTTTTGAGCCTCCTGTCTCTTCACCCACCATGTGTTTTTTTTTTAAAGTTTTATTGATAAATAGTACTTATGCCACACAAATCTTTCATTAAACATATACCATCCACTGTCTTTAATATATTTATAGAAGTGTACAGCCATTTTCATTATCTATCTCGGACTTATTCCCTGAAGAATTCCTTCTTCATTGGGGCTTACTCTTCCTTCTGCTGCCTAGTCCCAGCTAACTGGTCTACTTTCTGGCCAACTCGAGACATTTCACATGAACAGAATAACAAAATAGTCTTTTGTGACTGGCTTCTTGTACTTAACACACTGTTTTCAATCTATGATGGAGCATATATTAGTATTGCATTTTTTTACTGTCAAATAATATTCTATTGTACGGATAGGCCAAGGTTTATTTATATACCCACTGATTGATGGACGTTTTGGTCGTTTCCACTTTGTGGCTATTTTGAATGATGCCAGTATGAACATCTGTGTACAGGGTTGGTGTGGACATGTGTTTTCAATTCTGTAACT